CAAGTTAAGAAAGAGTAAAAGTGCTCAATTGCACTGCCTCAAATAGCTTCAACATAATAGATGGAGTTCTCGTGTGAAGCGAATAAAAAAATAAAATGTTTGATTTACTTAGTTAATAAATTCAATTTAAATTTATTTTATATTTCAGAAAACATAAAACATGTAATTAAAATTACTTATTAAAAATTTATATATAATTTATAGAATACTGACGATGGCTCCATGTGTTATCATATGAGTTGACGGGTAATATATAGGTTCATCTTACAAATCAGTATTTCTAAAGACCACTGTTGAAAGATATTTGGTGTTATTCAAAACAGATGTATGGTTCCTTAATTGAAAAGTAATTGTTTGGACTACTAAATTCCCTCATTATTATTCATTCCCTCATTATTTTTATTTAAATATAGATTTTCTAACAAATTTTATTTTTTTTTACAATAAAATAGATGAAGGATTTATTATATTATTGTATACATAATAATTGTATAATTGTGTAATATAATAATATAATATTTTAGAATACTAGTCAAAAATACTCTTAAAGTACGCGAATCCTAATGTATACTGTGAGTACTGACAACCCTAAGTTTTGTTAGGTATATGTGCATGAACGAACTCGTGGAGGTTCTAGGGCATTTACAATTTTCTAGCAGCATTGTACATGAAATGTGTTCAAACAGCTTTAAATAGAATGCAGTAAAAACCTTCGCAACTAAAATTATATGGTGCCTGAGATATTTCGAAGAGGAGAAGAAAGCTCTTTTACAGTTCGCATAAGTGATGAGTGCTTTCCCAAAAAGAACAGCTGTAATTATACAACTGCAGCGATGATAAATGCAAAATGTATTTAATTGATGAAATGATCATAAAAACAGATCTAAGTTTAGTTTGGACGGTCTCTTGACGAAATACCCAAGCGGTGATCCCGAGAGGGCTAACCGTCGGAGATCGGGGTAAGTTAATTGAACTCTCGATTGGACTCTGACTGAACTCTCGATTGCTTCACACCTCATTAAAAAATGGTACATCAGCATGAATGGAACTCTGATCTTCTAAGGGATACACAGAGCAACTGTTATCAGTTTAAATAAAATGCTGTTGTAGGTATATGCGACGTTGTAGTATTTTGCAACCTACTACTCGAATTCTTCTGTTTCTAACATTTAACATTTCTAACATTTCTGTTTTAAAAGGAGTGTATATAGATCTACTTAAATTTTTTAAATGAAGTACTATCTTTTGCTGGTAGATGAGTACTTGACACTGATATAATGATTATGATAACGTTAAGATACAGCATAAATTGACAATAGCTTTAAAAGATATTAGGATATTAATGAAGATAATAATGAGGACAAAAGTTCAAGAGATAGAATCATTATCCTTTAAAGGATATATGGATCATTCGTTTACCAATAGGACAATATTGCTAATAATGGAATTAACGCATAAGGGAATGAAATAAATTATCTGATGGATAAACAAATGACAGTTCAACAAAGGTCGATGATCGAAATAAGTTTTCTGATAGAGAAAAAACTGATATCTTAAGTTGGGTATTTATTTTTTTGAATAGATGAAGTGTTGATGATACTCAACTATTTGTGTTTATTCCTTTATACTATGAAGATGAGATAAGGGCGCTTTCAAAACAAATAACATTTTGGTATAAATTTTAAAACTACACATAAAGAAGGTTTAACTAATAAATCTTAAATTTAGTGAAATAAGAAAGACTAATTACAAATCATTGATAAATAAATTTAATTTTTTTATTGGTTCTTCTTTTTCTTCTTTTTATTGAGATTACGAAATCTATATTATTACTAGAAAAATTTCCATTTCTAAAGTCCTTAAAAAATTGTTTTCCCACTTTAAATCATCCTTCATCATTCAAAATTTTCTCATTTCATTAGGATTCAGAATTTTCTGACTATTTGCTTCGTTAAGATTTAAATTTGAACTTTATGAATTTCATCATTTTTGGCATTGTGGCATTGCTGATAGAATCTAATGACAAAGAAGTTAATAGAGCATCTTCTATATGGACGCTTGACTATTCCGTAAAGGTTATTCAGTTGAATAATTTTCCTGTTTCCTGCCAAAAGGAGCTACGAAATTATTGGCCTGGGCAAGGTGATCACTCGTAAAGTTGGAAACTTTTCAAATTAAAATTATGAATTTTACACTTTGAATGCTCGAAAACCAAAGGGGGAAAGAATAAAATACCGAAGGGTTGAAGAGTTTTCTGATTAAAATCTCTTGTGTATTTAACATTCATTGCTTTTATTGAAATAATATAATATATAAATATATTTTGTTTTATTTGTTTGAAATTGTTTTTTATAATTTTAAACAAAAGACGAAAAATCAGGCGAGATAAGATATAATTTTTCTTAAATAATTATGGATGTACTTTCATATTAAAGAAAAGAAAAATTCGTGGTTGCAGAATGAAAGTAATCAAAAATTTCCACTTCCGTTCCAAAAGTTTTTCACTGAAAGTGTTGTGAAAGAAAATTTTTTATTTTTTTAATCTTAATGATGACTGTTGGTTTCAGTCGTCAATTTAAAATGCAGAATAATGAAGCCAAATTGAAAGAAATTTTATTAATACTACATTTTAATAATAGAGAGAAAAAAATAAAAAATATGACCACAATCTTTAATTTTAGTGTAGTAAAGGGAAATTTTATCTGCCGGTTAATCCAATTTCTTACTTATTATTGTAAGTATTTCCAAGCATTTTTGATAATTGAGTTGTTGGTGATGCCAGACAGTTACCTCCTAGTACGGGATCTATCATCCTAGATGATGATAGAACACGTTTCATATTAATATAATCTGAAAATCTTAAATTCTATAATTAATTATTAGGTCAGATGAATTAATTTATTTTACACCCTCGAAATGCATAAGCCTAATTCTGCTCAAGCCTGGATACAGACACAATAGGTGTTCTGGTGTCCTTTATTCGAGCGCTGATAGACATGCGTACGTGCAGCGTTGGAGATACTACCTAAATTGAAGGATAGTTGGAATAAGGATTTTAAAGTTGAGAGGATTTTGAAGTTGAAATATAAAGTAATTTTTTTTAATTAAATATTTGTTTTTTATTTCATTTTTTCGAACCTATTAAAGATGTTATTATTTTTGTAAGCTCAATTTTAGGATGGTTTATTAAAGAAAATTAGTTCATGGATATAATGTCTATATGGCAGATACTGCGGATTTCTTTCTGATGTCCCTTCTAGTTGAAAGCAGGTCACCTGTATTACTGAAATCGACACACAACAGATTTTGGACGACCTTCACGAATTTCGTTAGTGAGCAATCTGCTGCTACGATTAAAATCATTGTGCCTGCGTTTCACAGTAGCAAAGGATGCAGCTTTATCACCAAATTTGAAATTAAGTTGATCAATGCACTCTTGACTTGATAATTCACATCGAAAGTCATAATAAATCATCGCACGAAAACTTTCTCGCGTTTATTCCATTTTTTCGTGAATACTCAATTTACAAATCGCTGTAAATACTCATAACACAAAAAACTGTCTTTTGACAAGAAGTCTAAGGTAGACTATGTTTAATATTGCCTAACGTCAGATCACACCTGACAACAATCAGTGCTGCCAAGTCTCAAAATTTACATAGTGATCCTCATATTAAACGTTACTTTCATATGGGAGGTAGTATATATTCCTAAGGTTTCATAAAGAAAAACGTCTTATTTTACAAACATGATAAAAGTTAGTTATAAATATTAACCCCTCTGAATCTCACATTAATCAATTATAAGATGAGGTCCATCAGATGTACTGGGTCCGAAATGAGGGTCCATTGTATTTGGGCTTCGTTCATTCTTACATTCTTCACTAACATACTTTCAGAATCTTCACACGGATTAACATTTTCCGGTGGTTTCGGTACTGGTAAATTTTTGGAGTGAGAGACCGGTCGTATCGCTGATTGCAGGTTGTTTGGATATTTTATTATTTATTAATTCGTAATATTATTATTATTTTATATATTATATATATCATATATAAATGAAATAAATTACTACTTTCGTTATAGCAAAAACATACATTCAACTGTCCTAAAGAATTAAGACGTGATAGAAAGAATCTAAACGTCTCTAGGACAAAATCTTTGTTGACTTATTGATTTTGTCAAAAAAAAAATAACTTTTACAGCTGGACCATATTATTACGTCTATGTTGACAGATTGTTCGTAAAGTGTAAGAAGTTGTAATTTTTAAAAAAATAGTATACGACTTATGAGCGTTCTGGACCTTTTAAACCAACGCTTTACTAGACACCCTTCAAAAACCTTTACAAATCAGAGAGAAATTTGTTGAATTATCTAAAGTTTTGAATATTTACTTTAATTATAAATATTTAAAATATTTTATTTCTTATATTTTAACGAAACTATTTAAGGTGTTTTCAAGTAAGAAATTAATTTCTCAAGAAATAAGTACCATCCAACTCAAAGGAACATAAAAATATTTTACATATACGAGTATAATTTAAAAATTTTTTTTTATTAAATAAAAATATAATAAAACATTAATTCAAATTAATTAATCAACCTGTGTTTGTTTAATTGTTAAATAATATTATTTTAATTTTAAAAGTAAAAGTCTGTGTATGAATTTGAAATCAATTTACTGTGTGATCAGGTCAAGTACGTTTTCGATTTGAAAATTGATAAGATACTTTGAGTTCAGAGAGACTCTGTACGAAACATATTTATGAATATTTATTTAGTCTAATAATATCAATACAAATGATTAGAATACGCCGTTTATAAAACTTTTTTCGCATTTTGCGATTTAAAATTAAAACTAAAATTAATTAAAAAGACAAAAACAAAAAATAAAATGAAATTTCATAGCGTCGTAAGTAAGAAAATATTCAGATAAATATAAAATTAATATCGGAGATATCAAAGTACATAAATAAAAAATATTTTAGGAATATTTTCGTTTGTGCTTCAATATTTACTCACTCAGTTTTTGGTTGCGAATGTGAATGGCAAACTCAACTTAAATGAATCCATAAATTTAAAGCAAATTTTGAATGAAAAAATATGGGAACCAGCAGATCCGATGAAGAATTTTTTAATATCGCCATACGGAATACTCGAATTGCTGGAAAATTTGAATACGAATGCTGAAAACGTTTATAGAATAGAAGAAACAAATGCAGAGAAGAATTTTGATAGCCAGGCAGCCAGCGAGGAATATGAAACATTTCATTTGCATGCTGCGAATCCTATTAAAGTATCGAATACATTGCAAACTGACAAGGATTTACGTATGCATTCCAGGCTACATGCAACTGCAGGATTGAGCTCCAATGAAACGCTGCCGAACAATTTAACGGCGACAGAAAATGAAGTACACACGAATTTGATTAATGCGGTTACATTGAATTCACGGTGGGCATTTAATTTCCAAAAACGCGATACACATAAGCGGATTTTCTACACGAAATCGAATGCACACTATTACGTGGATATGATGCGAAAGGATGATATATTTCCTTATGCCAAGCTTGAGCATTTAAACGCAACCGCTTTGGAACTGTCCTTGCAACAAAGTGATTTGAAAATGTTGATTTTGCTGCCCAACGCAGTGAATGGCTTGGCTGAGTTGGAGCGGAAACTAATGGAGGACCCCAATTTAATCAATGTAATCGGAATAAATTATTTGAGACCAACGTTAGTGCGTATACTTTTACCAAAGTTTCACATGTTATTGCATATCAACATCAGTACGATTTTTATGGAGGTGCTTTTGCTTAGTGTTAGATACAATGTTTTCAGTAAAAAGAAATTAAAATGGTTTTTCGTTTTCAGTTGCTCCAAAAAACTTTTAATGAGACCGTTGAGTTTGAACCAAAAATACAGAAATTCATACAAAAAGTGCATATTGAAGTGGGAGAAAGTGGATTTGGAGAAGTGCAGAAACAAAGTTTGTTGCAAATAAAATATTTTTAATTATTACGAATTCAAATAAATATTTATACTTGCAGCTGTGCTTTTTTGGAACGCACATTCATCTGTACGAACGACGCCTGAAACATTTTCAGCTAACCATCCGTTTTTATTTATGATAAGAAATCACACTGATATTCACTTTTTAGGACATTTGGTTAACATAGAATGAGCTAGAATAAATTAATATTAATAATAAAAAATACTTTTGAATATTATTCATCGAACTTAATAGTTTATTAAAACATTAGTTTATTGGCGTCCATTTATATTACTAAAAACATATAAAGGTTCAATCTTTGTAGTTCTAAATGTACTAACAATTGTTTCTATAAATATTGATGAGTAAGAGTTTGCCAACAATTCAAAGGAAAATTTCTTTTGGAAACATTATACATTACATTGAAAACAACATAAAAACACAAACAACACAAGTTCAATCTGATCACCAAATACACTTAACACATAAAGAATTGCAATGCAATTGCTCTATGCTTGTATCAGCTAATGTTTATGCCGAAAACCAAAATTTATTCGTTTATACGTTTCCGTTTTTTTTTATTCGGAAAAAACAATCAAATGCATTAATTTCTATAAGATAGAACTGGTCAACCGATTTCTTGCACCACAACTAATTCAGTTTTAAAGTAGAATTCCTTACAAAAATATCGGTTTCAACTAAATAGTACATACAATTAATTCAAACTTATTTATTATTAGAGAGGCAATATTCCGCAGCAACTGACAAGAGCTCTTGTTAGGTTAGGTTAGATTAACTTGGAGTGTGAGCTTTATGCGCAAAGCCCATTTGTGCTCAAAAAACGGCTCATTATAATACTACACGATTAGTGGTTGTTCATTTTTAGACTAACGATCAGCGTACGAGCAGCGCCGAAGAGCACGACTTCCCCATTAGGTGAAAATTAACCAATCGAACAATGTTTACAACTTGTCTAAGTTGGATTTATCTGCACAATTTTGCATGACTATGTTGGGATATTTTTGTCAGTTTAACTGTAGGACGTCAATATCTAAGAAGTGAATATCTCAGGAAATATGGGACATTCACACAACTAGGTAACTCATACTCGAAGCTCGGCATTCTCGAATTGTTAGAAATACGGTTGTAGTTCTTATCAAGTATTTAATAGTAGCTTGGTAGCAACTCCCCCATTAGGTAAAGATTAACCATCCGAACAATGCTTACAACTTGGCTAAGTCGGATTCATATACTCAATTTTGCTTGGCTATGCTGGGATATTTTTGTACAAGTGTCAGTTTAACTGTGGGACGCCAATCTTTGAGAAGTGAATATCACAGGATATATGGGTCCAGAAACCCATATGAGTTGGACATTCACACGCTTAGGTAACTCATATTCGAAGCCCGGCATTCTCGAATCGTCAGAGATATGGCTGTGGTTCCTATCAAGAATTTAATAGTAGCTTGGTTGTCCGAAAAATCAAAAATCTGATTACCTAGGCACCATTTCACTGAGTTCTCTTGTACTATAATGAAACTTAAATACTTAAGAACTGCATTTTATGCAAAATAAACTCACAATAAATTTAAATAAAATTTTTAATTAATATTTCAATTTAAATCCCATTAAAGAAATTTAAATTGTATCCATTATAATTATTAATATAATCCATATGAATCCATATTTTATCATTATTCTCTACTGAGCGTTTTGTTCATTGTATTTAACTATTCGATTCATAGCATTTCAAAGTTTAATAAATATAAAATTTCTATTGAATGAAGAAAATATTTAAACATTTAATTCTCAGAATTTACATAAGTAAACTTTGAAAGCAATTAGAAAATAAATTTCAGTTCCTTCGAAATGAACATATCCAGACATGTAGACGTTGTGCCCGCAGGGTATATGAAAATGTGAGTAGAAAAACACTTCATTTAGCTAAAAACTCAAACGATTAGATAAGTTTTTTTTGCATAATTCTTTGCACAGAGCATCAATAATACGAATACCAACAAAATCTGTACATAAACAATATTTCTACAATGTGGCCAGCATGGAGGATCTGAACGATACACCCGTAAATCTTCCATGCTCCTGCGTACGAAGTTTTAATGTTCCACTGTGTGTTTAACTGAACGTTCAGCATGCATTTTTGCAATATTTTAAAATTATTTCCATGAGATTCAAGAAAAAAAGGAAAAGTGTTCTTTTGAGCTACGAAAGCTGGTCTTCATATAAGTTGTATAGATAATGTATTTATGAGCTTAAATAGTAAATGTAAGTAGAATAGAGAAATATTCTTAACTTTATTTTGTGAGTATATTAAATAAATTTATAATTTAATTATGTTATATACTATGTTATGATAGAGAAAATTGCTTGATCGAATAAATAATATATTGTTATTATTATTTTTATGTCTAGTAAAAAAAATAACAGTTACAAAAATGCAGTTTAATTCCAGATATATGGATAGGCTATCCAGGATAGCTCAGTAAATTTTTTAAATTTACACTAAGTTTGACTTTACACTAAAGCTTAGTAAGGAAATATATGAAAATTTTTATGGAGATGCTTTCATACAGACCATGGCTTCAAAACGGTTTAAGGGGTGAGCGGCGGGAGTCTATGGGGTTAAACCAAAGGAAGAAATATATGCGAGTATGAGTCAAGAAAACGCAGTTTTTCAGGCCGAAGTACACGCAATTGAACTATTCTAAGGAAATATAAATTAAATTTATGTTTTTGCTTTTGACTAAATTAAATTGAAAAGAAAATTTAAATTTTGACTTAAAAAATTTATTTAGCCTATTTTTACTGCAATGAGGAAGACATAAATATATAACATTTTTCAGAAATTTCAAATATGCGACAGAATTTAATCTCTCTGAAAATTGTTATTAAAAATGCATCCAATATTTTCAAATAAATTAATTTTAATTATTTCATTATGATAGCTTTCATAAAATTGATTTATTATCCAACAATCATTTTCACATTAAATTTGTATTATTTTTAAAACTGTAGGAAATGTCCATAATTTAATGATGGAGAATCAGGAAAGTGTTTTTTTAATCATCAATATATTTTAACGAGTAGAACCAGGTTATGGATTAAGCTTTTACATGTAGCTTAACCTTAAATCCTAAATAATAATGAATTATCAATTCGTTATTGATTAATTATTTTCATATAAGAAAAAAATAAAATAAATATCAGTTTTTGTTTATAAAATATAGTATCAAGTAGAAAATTAATTATATTACAGAAAAATACAATGGCACTTAATATTGTTGTGAATATATATTAAGTTTTTATTATATTATTATTAAAAAATAAAAAACAAACTATTTAAAATTTCGATTTTTAAAAAACAAAATTTGTGTTTTCCCCCACGTTTAGCCGTTTTTTTTTTGTCACCTCATGGAAGGTGTATTTGTGGCATGAGTATTCATAAGTATTAATGAGTATTACTCATGAGTATAAATGAGTTTTATACATAAAAAAATAAATATGTTAAATAAATATGTTCTTAATAATGTCGCAAAACAGCTATGAAAAATTGGGTAAAATATTATTTTAATTTATAAAAAAGAATAAATTATAAACAGCTTTTTTTTATTATTGAGTAATAAAAATTTTAAAGAAAAATATAGATATTAGACACAATTAGCCTTTTTTTTTATTTCACAAATAAAATCAGTTTTATTATTTCAGCTTTTCTGAATTTTAAAAAGTATAAATTCTTAAAAAATAAATTATTATTTTATATGCTCACTTTGTACTGAGAATCTATTCCTTTGAAAGAACACTTTAATTAGGTCGTAAAGTATGTTGATTTGATCATGTATAAGATCTTATTATAGTTACTAATGTTTTCTGTAGTATATAGTTGGTTTTTAAATTAAATTTAATAAATGTTCATATAAAAGAATCTATTAAAATTTGATATCGATAGGATTCATAGGTAAAAACATGTTACTTTTATAAACTTTCTCATATATGCATTATATGTATGACTTACCTGAGTTGCAATAATGTATACAAGTCCACCATCATCATGGAACACTCGAGATTAAATTTGAATTTCCACTCCTGTATAGTATAGCTGTAATAAATAATAAGCATTTAATAAAAAGTTATTTCAGTTTGAGTAAAACTAGTGTAATTTCTTAAAATAAAGTATTACTATAATGCATTAGGTTATATTATAATTATAATGCTAAATATATTGCAAATTGGAAAAAAATTAAAAGTGATTTTAGTAACTCTAAGTACTAACAACTATTCTCCAAAATTTGAAATTAACTAAATACCAAATTTATTAATAAAATATCTAAATTGAGAAACATTGAGAATATTGCAGATGGTCTTCGGTGACCAGGCTATGTAACAATAAATGCTTACAAATGCTATTAATAACTTAAAGTGATGTTAAAGACAAAAATCGGTCTTGAAAACTATAAATAATAATTGATCAACAATACATCAAGGAAATCAAATATATTGGTGCTCAAATATAATCAATTGAGAATGAGGGAACTCATTGATACTATTAATATTTAATGTGGATTACTCTAAACCATTTTCAAAGCATACACAAATACTAAACTGCTGATACCGTCTCCCGCTGATTACTAGAGTGAGATCTAAACTAGATGACTTTCAACTCTGATAGCTCATGCCATTATTCGTAAGAGATGGTTTTTGTGGGTTCAAGTCTAATACTGTGGCCTTCGGCTTTCGTGTCAAAATGTTTAACTATAGACAAGATTGAAATTTAGTTTGATGCCAAAAATACTGAATTTTTTGAGAAATCAGCATCACGTTGAAGTTCATCAAGTAATGCATTTTAACTGTCAGTATGATAACTACTTTCACATATGACCATGAACCAACTTCCAATCAAGAGAATAACTTGCAAAAAGTGAGCCAATACTATAAGGATGAAGCTAAAGTTGTTCAGAATAATAGATATTAACAATGTCATAATAGTTTCCTTTGATAATACTGATATGGAAGATTAGAATTCCTTCCTCATATTATTTCAACGTAATACAACGTTAAGTTGCAGCTATTTACAAAACATGCTAGAGTTATGGGCAAATATAGTACCAGTCATAGTACCACTATAATATATCATTTCACACTATATTGTTTCTTCTAGAACAGTTCTTTCAGAATTT